TTGAGTTCCTCGCTGCTGTGCTGGAGAAGGAGTTGATGGGAATTCAGCGCAATGGCACAATATTGAGAGTGAAATGTGCCAAATACTGACTACCTCAAGGAAAGGGAACAGAGCAATGGATTGAAGGAGGAGAGGAAGAGAGAGAGAGAGAGAGAGAGAGAGAGAGAGACAGAAGTAAAGCCTGATGCCCAAAACCACCTCCATGGAAGAGTGGATTCCTAAGCTCTGCTGAGGCTCCCCTCCACTCAAACTTCATTGTCCTCAGTGTGCACTTGAAGAGTCAGCTGGAGAAATTCCCAGGCAGAGTCACATGACTCCACCACTGTACACATATATATATATATATATATATATATATATATTTAGGATGGACAGGACCATTTGGGCTTAGAAAATGTGAGTTTTCCTGCATGCCTCTACACAAAAAGTGATCTGGGAAATCCAGTTGGATGCATTTCAAAAGATAAAAGAATCATCATACTGTGGATATGATGACGCCCCAGAAGATCAGAGGCAGCGCAAAGATAAATCTGAGGGGTCAAAAGATGGTCAACAAGACAGGAAATTTATATTCTTTCCTCACAAACTGTTATTTTTTTTCTGACTTTTCTCCAGTGTTTGCTGAGAAATACTGGGGGAGTTTTCTTCTTCTGGCCAAAACAATCCAACAGAACATGGCACCATAGTTCATGAATTCAAAATTCACAGAGAATCTGAAAATAAATGTATTTAAACTGCAGATTATGATACTAATTTTCTCAACACTGTAATCCCTAGCCTCCATCCACCATTGTCAGTGCAAATAACACAATTTTAAGGTCTGGAATTGCAAGTTTCTTACCAAATGCATCTTGGGAGTTGTAGTTAAAGTGCAACTAATCACCCTCTGTCTTCTCACTATTTCACGGTGACCAGACATCACTTTTGGGTGTGTTTAGTAGTCCAACAGAGCACGTTTCAATGCTTGAAACGCTGAATCCAAATGTCCAGACTTCACAGCTCTTGCAGACTTTGCAGGTCCGTTCCCGGGAAGTCTGCGAGTGCTGACTGCAAAACCTACAATTCATCCAGCCCACAAGGGGCCTCAAGCAGACTTTGTAATGAAAGGTAACCAAGTACATTTACCCAAGTACTGTACATAAGTACAATTTTGAAATACTTTACTTGAGTATTTCCATTTTATGCTACTTTATACTTCTACATTCATTTGATGACTTTAGTTACCAGTTGTATTCTGCACTTTTAGTTTCGGTATATTATTATACTTAAGTAAGATTTTAAATGCAGGGCTTTAACTTCTAACAGAGTATTTTTACACTCTGGTATTGCTACTTTTAAGAGTACTTTAAGTATATGTTTAAGTAAGTGCTGCAAAAGAGAACTCAGATTGGATCGGATAATCGGAAAAATGCTGAATATTGGATCCCATAATCAACCAGGCTGATAATCTAGCCCAAATCCAAGTAGCCAGTTAGCTCACACGGTCTATAGGAAAAGTGAGTGGGACTTTTAATTCTGGAATCAGGGGGACCCGAAATAGCTCTTCCCACTTAAAAATCTATGGGAAGCTAATTCTACTATCGCAACTGGCCTGACATGACATGAGCAATTGAGACATATGAACTTTACATGATCGAGCCCTGCAGGATCACAGTCTCCAGTCATGTACACTGAGCGAACAACAGGGGGAACTGATATAATTCAGTGACATCACAACACACAATGTTAATAGAGCAATAAGAAATGCATAAGCCTGCACAAACGCACGATGTACCCACACACATCATTCACATAAAACACACACTTTTACAAACACTACAGCTGTAAACACACTCTCTGTCTCACACACACTGAAACACACCCACAACCAAACATGCACACAGCAAATCAGCATGAATAAATAAGAGATGGAGTTGTGCTTCATAGCCTAATCTCTGAGGAAAAAACAGCTTGCCGCATCGGCAAGGATCAGCCGGGGCGAGTGAGAGGGACACTGCTGGCTTCCAGGAAACCAATTTGTTTGTTTATTGTCTTGGTGTTTTGTCGGTGGTTACAGTTCATTGCAGTCAGCCCATCTTGGGCATGCTCCTTTAAATGGCATCTATAAAACATGGGATGTGCTCTCCCCACATCCCCCTCCTCTTCTGTACATGACGGAGCTGCACACGAGCGTAACAATGCTGCATTTCGTTTGCTATGGTGGGGCTTTGAATTTGCCTTTAAACACCCGATGGATTCACCCCAGCAGCTCGAAGAGGCGCTTTGAGAGGTGGAACAAACTGTGCTTTCTAAAGACATTAGCCTATGAACACCGCTGAGCAGCGAATCTCAGGGTGCTGAAATCGGGTGTAATCATGTAGATAGATGGCTGACTTTTTATTGTTCCGTTAAGCCAAATCTGCAGGGCTGGTGCTGAACGCAGAGTTTCTGAAATGATGCAATACCCCGGATTTTATGGTTAACTCATGGTGCTGCAGTGCTATGTTCTCTGTGACAAGACACCAAGGCTGTCACATCATGTATATGTATCCTGCATAAACATATATTTGTCATGCCCACACTATAGGAAATGCAGAAATGTCAGTGTTACGGAGAGACGGGAGGGAAGGGACACGAAATCTTAATAGTACAAGTAACCCAGGGCTGTGCATACATATATACGTAGAGTGCAAAAACTAAAATGTATTGTTTTGTCTCATGCCTGCAAACACAAGCCAGACTCTCACATCATGCCCTATTGATCTGACAGAGTGAGCAGGAAGCTGGCGGAGAACACAAATACTGCCTGGGGTGGCTCCTTAAAACTAGAGACAAGCCTCTTATCCATGGTGTTCTCTTCCTCTGGAAATCACCTGGTGGCTCATGCATATCAAGTACTCTCTCCGAGCCTCAGTCTGCGCTCTGCCTTCTTCAGACTCTGCTGTTTGTTGCAATGTCTGTGTAACAGTGGCTTTAAAATAAATAAACACACACACACACACACACACACACACACACAACTGAAACTGCAAGCTAATCTGTCTAACCTCTGCATTACGGTTATTTTGCAGAGATGCAGTGCTTTTGTCGCCACCAAAACGGCACGGGCAACCATTTTTGTTTCATCACTTGTTTGGGAGTATGCATGCCACAGTGCAGTCTGGCAGGGTTATGATGGCAGGGTGTTTCCAGGTACACAACTTTATTACAAGCCTTTAGCTCCGTAACTAATTCCCATATTTTACAACAACCACTGCAGAGCGCACAAATCTGTTTCCAAGTTTCCAGTGTTACTATCGAATACAGTGGAACTGTCACAGGGATCCCATCTCCAGAAATCCCAGGGTGGCCTTTGCTCTGCCTGTCAGCAATACCAACCAATAACACTGCACAATAAAACCCTCCAGAACAACAGTGGGCCGCAGGCAGCTTCAAGGGCTACTGACGGCGATCTATAAAACAATATAATGGGTTGCCTGTCAGTGAATGTGAAAGGGAAGATCTACACCTCCTCTGACTCTCTGAGGGGACGTCAATTAATCACAGCAGAATTGTATCACCCCGCAATAGGAGTGTAAGGTTATTACCATCCCCATATTCCGCAGGATGAAATGCGATGATAGCACTAATTGAGGGAAGACGGGAAAAAAATAGCTGACCGCACAACACTTGTCAAGGGGATGAAGGGCAGATAAAAGAACAAGGGGACGGACAAAAAAAGAAGACAGGAAGTTGGAGGCGGGGGTGGTGATGAGGGGAGGGGTTGTAGAAAAAGAAATATTCACAGTGGTGTGTAAGCATAATCATAAATATCTACAGTCTGCGTGCAGAGCAGCTGGCAGCAAACACAAGAGCCAGTTTTCATTAGGGACTCCATCCGCGTCTTCTCAACATAATCCAACAAGATAAAAGCATTGTACTTTTTCTTAAGTCACAAACAAGCTGCTTAAAGCTCATAGCAGCTTTTTTTTTTTTTTGCTCTTCTCATTTTGAAGTTGAAGGGAATCACACTGATGGGAGGACACGGCCCACGCTGTGAATTCAGCTCCAGGTCCCAATTCAGAGCAGCGATTTAACTTGGCTATAGAGCTTTTACTGTGGGGAGCCATGTTAATGTTCAGGGTTACCTTTTACAAAAAAAAGTGCAGGTGCTTGAAATGCTTCAATATAGAAATACTATTATACTTGTTGTGGGGGAGGGGGTACAAAAGCATCTGAACACACTAAACATTAGATTAGATTACATCTTAGATTACATCTAATCTTATACTAGATAGATAGATAGATAGATAGATAGATAGATAGATAGATAGATAGATAGATAGCAGAAAGAGAGGAGAGAGATTATCTGTGATAAATCTGGTAAAAGATTTTAGATTCTTCTTCTCTGTTGTCATGATGAGATAATAACTTGTCTGCATGATGATGAGACCACACACACACACACACACACACACACACACACACACACATATATATAACTCTGCCTTTTATAATCTTTCTAAAGAAAAGTTTTTTTGTATTTTCACACAGAAGAGAGTTATTTCAGTGCCTTTGTGGAGCTAACATGAGTAGGCAGAAAGCCTCTGAGGGAAAACTTGATTTTTGTCTAATTTAAGCATCCAGTGATGATGAATGTTGCCGCACAGATCTGATATCTGTTCTCTGAATCTAGACAGTATGAAGCTGAACATTTCCCAGCCTACAGCTACACCTGCACGCCACTTTCAGTCATTAGTTTGCAGTAGGTCGCCGGTGTCTCTCAACTTAATAACTATTTATCATAGCGGAATCAATCGATATCCCGATCGATAACCGTAGTTTATTCATAGGTTTCGGCTGCTCGGCTATTTCGCAGTAAACACGTGAGCTGTTCGGCTTTTTCATATTCACAGTATAAAAACTGTTTGAATCCAATCACTTCAAGTCAACTCAAGGTTTGTAAAAAAAAAAAAAAATTTAAAAAATGATAGAGTTTCACGCACACAATGATATGACAGTTTCAGGGTACGTCAACCTACCTGTCGTTGTGCTGTCAATTAATCCCCCCGAAACGTCCCTTTCATTTATTCTCCATTGTCAGCCACAAAAACCAGAAATGCCATTTCCCTGTCGCTTCAAGACGCCCTCGACAACACATAACCTAAAAAACCCCAACTGGTCTTAATGTCAGAGCTCTCCCAGACGCACAATCCCTGAGTAAAGGAAGAAGTCTATATTGAGGCTGCTGGCTACTTGCAGGCGGTGGACTTGGAAAGTCTATAAAAGTTGCTAGTCCTCCGGCTCTGACTCACAACTTCCCATCCGCCAGAGCGCCACAGCAGCTGATCCACATGCCGGACCGTCGCTCATAGTTTCTGGATTCTTTTTTATTTTTTTAATTTACAATCCTCCTGCCAGATACTGGTTGCAGTTGGGGTTTGGCAGCGTCTTCCTTCTGTTAGAGAAATGGATTGGAGGTGTCCGAGGGATGAGAGAGCAGCCGGATTCATCTCAGTGTTAGTGTGTGTGTGTGGAGGCTGCTGCTGGTGCTGTGCTGGTGTTTTAGCGCCACCCAGTGGACGTCTGCTGTGGAGGCCTGTAGGTGGTGGCAGGAAGGAGTGCAGACATTTATCTCATCTGGCTTTCAGATGATGATAACTGGATGGTTGTGCCCTCTTGTGAAGACAGCAGCAGCACTATTTATAGCAGTGGAGTGAATATATGTTCCTTAATGTTGTTACACATTGCTTCTGTGTCATTTCCAACATTATTTGTGGCTTTTTAAGTTGACTGGTAGATTTAATATGCTTTTTTGCTTTTTTTAATCTATTTTCAGCTCCAATATTGAGGACGTGTTTTGCAAACAAACCAAGAGGCCAGTTTACGATGGTTTTGGAGAAAGTTCTGGAAGGTATTTCGAGTCAGTCAGTAGGTATATAAAATATTTAGGCACTGTATGAAAGTTATTTGGGTGGGGTTGGGAGGGGTGTTGGATGTTTATTTCATGAAAAAAACAAGCCACAGGTTTTAAAGATTTTATTTGGATTCACGCTCCTTCACTACACTCCCTCCAATGTCTCAAATTAACAGAATATATTAATAACAAACATAAGAAAACCGCTCTCTTTGTAAATAAGCGTATAAAACCACCAAACAACAAGCGACAGCTCTGTGCTGAAGGGCTTGTTCACAGCAGTATTTTCCCCTCCACCCCCATATCATCTGCATATTGCAAAATGAACCGTGATGGCACACATGAAAACCATCTTTTGATGTAATTTTTTGATCTTATTAGATCGTACACATGTAAAATATGAAATAAATTAGATATTTGGGGTAAGAAAAAAATAAAAAAAACACCCTCCACCCAAAAAGCAGTAAGACTACGCTGCTACCAGCAATATTAAAAAAATGACCAAAGAACCCTCTTTCTTTATCGACCACCCCTCCTTCACTAATAATTTGTGTACAGTCCCTTACTTAGAAGAACTTACGTGTTATGACATGCATTAGGCTCCTGACTACTCACCCAGGTTATGATAATACATCGGTTTGTCTCTGACATTCAACGTCCGCTCTCCTCGAGCATTACTGCCCGGTCTACAAAGGCTTCCCCCCAGTAATTGCATTATCATCTCTCAATTTCTCAAGCAGTCTCTTTCGTCTGCCCCCCTACTCAACCACCCCACCCTCCCCCCCAAAAAAGGCAGGAATGGGTGGAATAATCAATACCAACCTTTGAAATAGCCTGTGGAGATGGGAGGCAAGCATTTGGGTTTGGAGTTGATTGATTCTGGACACCCTCAGAGAGTGTTATCATCATAAAGCCAAGGCCATCTACCTCATAGACAGCTCCATAAACACACACACACTCAGACACACACACACACAAACACACACACACACAAGCAGAATCAAAGGGCAGAATACACAAATCCCAATGGACCAAATGCAAAAAAATGCCAGGCTATTATCAGTGACCGGGCTGAGCTATAAAATCCAAAGCAGATATGCAGACCAGAGCCAGGGCTTCACATCACCTCATAATTGCCTATGAATAGAGAAGCTGTTATTTTGATTCTATTTACGTAATTTATGATTCCCAAAGTTATCAAGTTTCTTTCTTCCTCCCTCTCTGTCTCTCTCTCACACACACACTCACACACTGACAGAGGAGATGACCTCATTAATCTTTAGTGCATTGTATAGACCTATCCTGTCATACCCCTGACACTGTGGTTTGTGACACAGCTCTGCTCATTAAATCATATGACAGGATGAGGTCAGCCGTGAGGTAAGGTGTCTCAAGCTGTGTGCGAGCAGATAAAGCCAGCAGTATTACCGACTGTGAGAGAGCTCAACAACAAATGTATTGTAGGTGGCAGCTGAGGTGAGTCATGAGGTAATCCCGGTTAGTGAGCATTTGGCATCAAAATCAAATAAAAGTCTCTGGTTTTGTCTCTTTGAGGTCACACCTCAGGGCAACGGGAGAAACACACATCCACTGAGTTTGAGGCGTCATGTGATTTGGCACCTCACACAGGAAACCTCAGTACCTTTTTAGGTCTCGTTACTGTAGGCGGCACCTCGCATAACCCTCATCCTCCTATGCTTGTCATGCCGTGATTACTTTCACTTCACACAGGAAACAGGAGTTGTGGGAGCTCCGTGGCCCAACATTGATTGTGGTGGTTCAGCTTAAAATAACAGCACCCTGCAGGGAGAAGTGCGAGCCCTCTGCCTGAACCCTCACTCGCCTTCACCGCACAAGTGTGTTTGAAGACAGTGGGACGTCTACCAGAAAATTGCAAGTGGAAAAATAGGAGGCATAATGGCCTCAGGAATGGAGCTGGCCATCAATAATGCAGAGGAAGCGGCAGTTAATGCCCCCTTTAATTCAACAGGTCTGCAGACGCCGGTACAGTTATTCTTCGTCGGCTCTAGATGCTCGAAGAGAGGCAGCTACATCAGGCTTTATGGCTTTGTGTGCGGTTGCACTGCCAGGTCTTTCCCCCCGACCTCAATCCAGATTGCTGAGCCATTAATGGGTTTTCATCACGGGCCCTCCCTAATGGAGTTTTCAACTTCACCAACTCGTTCAGATGCCAGTGGGGAGCTGTAGCGACAGAGAAAGAAATAATGTCCACACAAAGTCAGAATATATGAACTCAATTTAGTCTGAACAGTGAGAGTACTGATAGCTTCAACAAACAAAAATAGGGCATAATGTTACACCGCAAAAATTACCATATAGAACGTGTATTGTCTACAGTTCTCACATAAGAGAATAAATCTGACTTTTTTGTACTTGTACTTGTTTTCTGTTTTTCACAATATTTTTTAGTAGACCAATCCAGTCATGAATATAGGTCACGTAAATCTTCTTCCAGGAGCTTTCTTGAGTAAAAAGAGTCTAACACTTTTAGACACTGGGTATTCCTAGGAACCCTCCAATGTCCTCAAGGACTCACTCAGAATAAAAAGGGTTCCTCCAGACGCTGTGAATTGAAGACATGTGCTTGCTGGAACCCCCTGGGGATGTCAGAGGTTTCTGCAGGAGCTTATGGGATGTAAAGGGTTCTTCCAGGAAGGTTACTTGAAGTACCTTCAATGTCAAGTTAATGAAGGTTACTTGAAGCACCAGCAGCAATGTCATTTTAAGTTCTTTGAGTACCCAATTTGATATTTGAGTAACCTCACCATATGTACGTATGGGTCATTCCTGATGGGAAACTGAAGCGTTAATATCAATCCATATTCTCCTCAAAGCCACCAGACTTCATTGACAAAAACAGTAATTTAACCTGCCAGAACACAGGGTTTGCTCGTCTATCACTGCATTGATTGGTTAGTTTGTTTGTGTTAATGTGTAACTTTGGTGTTTTAACGCATTAGTTCAGATTACTAACATTATTTGCTGCTGATTGAGGCATTGGTAGACCAGCAACTCCGTGTGCTGCAAGGTAAAATTACTATTGTTGTCAATTAAGTCTGGTGCCTTTGGAGAGAGCGATAATGCTCCAGCTTCCTGTTTGAAGGGGCTGTCTGACAACAGGGTATAGCGTTGAAAAGTACAGTGCTTAATATGTATGTTACTTTACACCACTTAGTTACTTTAGAATTTGAATAAAAAGATGATATTGCTGTTATGAGTGTGTAGCTTTCCCCTGATGTACATAGTACCTATATAGTACCAAAACAAAATATGACACAGGCTGAAAACCTTGTTAAAATCAAAGTTTCTGCAGTATAGATTTCACTGCAGTACATTCATTTTGTATTGTCACACAATGAAATATGAAGTGTCTCTTTTTCTCTTGTCTTGTTTTCTCTCCTGAGGATCTGCATATCAGATGACTTGGTGACTTCTCACCAGAGATCTGTTTTCCTTGGATTCAGGGCAGTCTGCCTCGGCAGCCTCCGACAGAGAAGTAGTGGGTCATTCATCAGGAGAGAGATTAAATCTTCATCCACTGCTGCTGCATGTTGAGAGTACTTCATCTTTGCAAAAGGAAATAAAAGGGTTGGGTTTTTTTTATTCCATCCTTTAAGGCAGAGAAAATCATTTAATTTCCTTTTATCACTCACCAGCATGTGGTTTTGTCAACAATAAAACAGCTGTTATTACCAAAAATGGTCGATAAATAGGAGATAAACAGAAAATGTGTTCACATGTGTGCGTCCCACTGAGCCATAGAATTAGACAACAAAACTTCCATCTGTTTAAAAGGTCAACAAACATGCAGTAATGATAGGTTCATAATGAGCCTCTTCTACAGAGCCATTGTTTTTCCCATGTGATGGTACTTTAGCTCCATCTACTGGACAACATGCACAGGTGCAAACTCCTCTCTGTCATTAAAACAGTGCACACAACCTCATCCGCACCCTTTCTGTGGCCTCTTTATTTCAATAGACTTTTTTCCCAGCCACCATTTTGACATGAAATAGTAGAGTAAACAGGTTGTTATGGTTCTGTTCCATTCAGTTCAAACTGAGTCAAGATGCAACTAATGCACATGCTGACTTAATTAGTATCATTTGTAATGTCTGTGTTTACCCAACTAATTACTAATATTTATTATATAATTTGATCATTTTACAGTTGTAGTTGGTTAACTATCCCAACACATAATATTTCATAAGTTCATCTTATATAATATGTAAAATCTAGTAAAAAGTTAAAGTTAAAAATACAGTAGTTCATTTGTTAGTAGATAATGAAGTAGAAATACCTGGATATACTCAAGTAAAGTAAAAGTAGCCGCTACTTAGTTACTTTCCACCACTGCGACTGTCAAACAAATGTAGTGGAATAAAAACATATGTAAAGTTCAAATACATAAAAATGAACTGAAGTAGGTCTACTTGAGTGAACACACTCAGTTATGTTTCCCCACTGTAGTAAACACACAAACACAAAGAGGGCACAAGACACAACTATATGGTCTACAGTGTGTCCTGGCTCTGCTTTCACTTTTACTTCATCCAAAGCTAAAGAGAGTGTATTAAATTAATTAAGTATCAGTGCAGATGGCATGTTGCCCATATGACAGGATGATAAAGAAAAGAAATATATTTTAAAACAATTTATAGTTGATAAAAAACAGTAACAAATATAACAATATCACAAATAAAAGCAGTATTTTAATATTTGTATTAGTGTTGATGGGAGGAATAATCAGGAATGGCTCGATTGATGTTTTGTTTACCTGACCACAGAGAAAACAATCACTTTAAAACACATTTTAGCCTTGAGCTTTGTCAGCTGAATGACTGTATCAGATAAAAGTTTATGATTATGTAACACAGTCACAGGCGACTCTTCATGTACCATGAGTGCTGCTCCTCTTTCAAAACTGGACCAAAACAAGGGCTCTCGTCTAATGCCAAACTCCAGCTCCTTTGTACTCTGATGAACTCGACACAGTGTCACTGTGCTTTAGTGATGGGAATGTGGTGAAATATGGTTACCAAGCTTTCTCTATTAAAACAGCAAACACATTACAGTTGTGTCACTTATGTCCTGTTCCTAGGAATCGTCCCTGAACCAGAAACCATGTTTTACATATCTGACATTATATTGTGTTCTGTCGACTGCAGCCTGGAGGATGTTGTAATCAATTACTTTCTTAATGATTAGTCATTTTTTTACAGTTGCTTTATAGATCAGTCACAATAATAAGAACAACTTTTGGATTGTCAGTAGTTACTGTTGTTTATCCTCCTCCAGTGTTTCATCGCTTTGTCTTTTAGCTCTTTAGTTTATCCAATCAGCAGTAGACCTACCTGACTCTTATCTTCTCAAAAGGTGCTGGGAGTCAGTCTTGTAAACATTTACAATGAAAGACTTGATGAATAGTTAAAAGACTTTATTATCAATTTTAAGACTTTAAAAATCCAAATTAAAATCCTAGGGAACCTACTCCGTCATTAAAAAAAAACAAATTCTATGAATATACAAATTTTGTTTGTATATATTTGTTTTTAAAGTTTTCTTAAGAGATGTCTCCTACTTTACTGTAAAGTCTATTCTCAGTGTATGAGCAAGATTGTACATCTTAGTGTTTTTTAGGGAACACAGAGAAACTTTAAGCAGACAAATGTGAAAACATCCTCCTCAGAGTCAACAAGAAGAAAAACCCATTTGAGAGAGGAAATTTAGGTGCAATGTGTAACGTTTTGGAGGATCTATTGGCAAAAATTAATATAATCACAGTATAGCTATATGTATGTACCACTTTGTTAGAATGAGCCTGTTATATCTACAGACACAGCAGGTCACCTTCCATAAAGTCTGCCATGTTGAACTTAAGAGGAGGGTGAAGCAAAGGAGTTGCTATCTGAAATTACGCCACTAGATGCCACTAAATTCTCCACACTGGTCCTTTAACAGACTTTCCAACTTTTGCTGCTGGATTCCTGTATTAGAAAGCAAAACCTGGACGAAAGCAGACGGAGTTGGCGGATACTCAAATAGATAAATCTATTAAAGTCTCTCTCTGTCAGATTGTGTAAATGTAGTGACATAAAATGTGTTTGAGTGAAGGTAAATGCACTCTCCCCTCTTCATATTCATTACTCTAAATGTATAAATGCAGAAGTGATGTTTTATTAAAAAGTGAGACACACATTACTCTGTGTTAATCACTTTATAATTGATTGCTCAACAATCAGAGAGATGCTTCACATCCTGGCGAACCATTTCCCCCCCTAATTAATGCCTTACAACTGATCTATAAAGCATTATTTAAATATTTATCAACCATTAATAAAGTGCTTAGTTACCAAAAAACCTTTATAAAAGTTACCTTTTATATATTTGTTCATGTTGACTGCATACAATTATGTCTTAAGGAGACTTTTTTGATATGTAAGGATGGGACTTCATGTGTTATAGTGTGTAAATATGATCTTATGGCTGTAGCTAGTTGGCCAAATGAATGGTCATAAATCCACATAAGAAGGTATCTCTCCCTTAAATGTCTTATTGGCTGACTTTCACATTAAGGTCATTGAGTCCAGCAGCCTATATTTCCTGTAGCAGATGAGATGTTGCGTTAGTTAGAGATTTTTTGGGGTGTGTGTGTGTGTGTGTGTGTGTGTGTGTGATATTTCCAGGGCTGGCTGCCCGTCCATGTGAAGCCCTGCCTTCTGAGATGAGATAGAACCATCTGCCGGATTACAGCCTATACGCAGCCAGTGAGGCTTTTATTCAGTTTGAATGAGGAAAACACCGTGTCTGTCTGTCTGTCTGAAAGCTGTCACATGGGGCCAAGGAGGAAAAAAAATCGCTTCCTGAAATGATCCTCGTCACTGGCTGTGTATTGTTTTGGTTTTTCTCCCTCTAACCCAACATCGCATCGCGTTTTAATTTTCCGTCCACTTCTGTTTTTTTGGGCCGAGGTGTCGAGCGCCGATGATGATCAGTAAAGTTAAAAACGCCATGTCCACTCTGGTGGGAGGGATGATGCCGCACGGACACCACCACCACAACCATCACTCAGGTGGTGGCCAGACCTGCGGACCGGACAGCCTGCCGCCGCGCTTCCCCTACGGCCGGCCGGATTTCTTGGACCTCACCCCGGAGCTCCTGCAGTACTCCACCGAGCACGCATCGCGGCCGGTGCTCACGTTAAAGAGAGACAGCAGGCTTCCCTGGCGGACGGGATACGCAGAGTGAGTGGTTCAAAGCATTCATTGACGAAATGCCGCCCCCTCCTCACCCACCCACCCCCCAAAAAATAATTCACATCACCAAAGATTAGGATTTTCTTATAGTCCTGATCAGGCCTGTGTTGCAGCAGCCTCAGCAGCTCCGAGTGCACTGCAGCAGCCAAATGATGGCCAATATGGCCTTTTTGCTGTTGTACACTTTCTGCCACAGTGTTCCTCCCCTGAGCTTGTGCTGTGAAGGATATTTGGAGCAGTGTGTCTGTGCGCTGTAATTAAACAATATGCTCCCTATCACAACACAGGTACATTTGTGTTCAGTGGTCTTTGTCCAGAGGCGCCTCCTAAAGTCAGTATACAGTTAGAGTTAAAGCTAGAATGTCCAGGGCATACAAAAGTGAAAGCAGGAAACGTCTACCTACTCATGTTACTAACAAGCCTTTCTGTGTGTATCCTTAAATTCAAGACCTTTTTGATATTTAAAAAACCTCTATGACAGTTTAATTAATGTCTTCTGGCTGGCTGTTTTTTTTTCCTTTTCATACACAAACAGCCTTTGAGTCTGTGTTTGTGTTTCAGGCTATTTAATCTTTTTCTTTCATAAAAAGGTTCTCTGTCTGCATGAAGTTATGACTAATGACCATTCACTTTTTTTCTTTCTTTTTTTATGAGCTTAGATGCAGAACTTCTCATGCCCTTGGTTTTTTTTTACTGCACCTGCAGTATGCTCACAGGCAGAAATAAAGCAGCACCTTTTCATTCACACTATTGGTCAGGATTTGCTGTTCTGGCGTTTCCAGCTGAGGCAAAACACTGTCAGACATTCCACTCTCCCAGAACGAGGGAGGCGGGCAGTTATGAAGGGCTGAATAGCTCCAGTACAACAGTACAGTATGTGGGCTATACCACCCCTGCATGTCCCCTTGGACCCAGTGTGGAGAGGGAAAAAAAGGCTGACTCATGCAGAGAGTCTCAAGGGGACGGGGACGAGCTTTGTGACGACAACAGTCTCAGAAGACTGAATGAGAGGTCAAGTGAGGATGCTGTAATGTATAAAAAAAAAAAGAAAGGGAGGTTAGTGTGTGGGAATGTGCACTGTCGTCAGTGCTGTCATCAGCATTATGCTGCAAATTACTTTGATATAAGTTGCTGAAAGTGTAATCACAGCATTAGCAGCGCTGTTTACAACACAACCTAATCGGCTGATCTGCTCATGCATCAGCTGTCGGTGCTCATTTGAAAGTCCACACCCATTAGTGTTTAATTATCACACTGTGATAACGCAAACGTCTCTAACCAACACAAACCAGTTCTTGAAAACATCTGCGACACTATTGCTGTAATTGGGATTTCAAAGTTGTACACTTGGATGAATGTACAGCCGTGTTTATCAGCCGGACTGATTGCAGTTATTTATTCACTCACAGCTTATATGGCTCTACTAATGCCATTCACTGGTATCAAAAGGTGGTGAATGAACTGGGATGTGTGTGGACTGATTGAAACATGGATAATTTAGCTGTGCGGCATCACTTTCGATTAATCTGGCTGAACATATAATCCTTACAGAGCAAGATTTATCTACTGGAGCTCCTATCAGCTCCCTCTCTTTTGTCTGGTGCTATAATGAGTAGGAACAATGATGGCTAAACAGTGTACAGAAGGTGGATGCTGTCCAATTGGAGGCCGCCCTGCTGGCTTACATTCAACCTCTGTGCAACTTCTCCACTCTGATAACACTGAATTAGTGTCTGTCATTCTGGTGGTAATGAGGATGCGTGGTTGTCGTTGGCTTAGCTGGCATCAAACTGATCGAGATGTTTTTTGGTATGTTTTCATTGTTCTGGGTTTTGCTGTGTTATTTTCAGACAAATAGGGTCTAGTCTCATCTGTGTGTAGATTTAGCACCACATGTCTGATAATTACAGGTTTAGGATATTTGGGGTAATGAGTCTAATTGATGCTGCAACGCTGCTTTACAACGTTGCGTCAGCATTAGCATGTGAGTGCACTTACCGTGAGCCACTCGAAAGTGCTTTTGTCAAATAGCTATTTAATACAATTTAATACAATTTAATACGGAGGCAAGCTTCCAGGACCTGGCACTGAGACCATGAGAGAGAGTGTGAGGAAGCACTTAGAAGCAACAACAAAAATGTTTTCAGGGATATATTCTCTTGTTTTAAGCCCAGATAAGCAAATGTAAATAAATCATACTATACATAAATGGTAATGTTATACATAATTGATTATTGTCTAGGATATAAGAACTCTATGTGATATTATTAATAATGCATGGGTAAGCAGATGTTAGACGAGCTCAAAAGTACAGGAGAAGCAGGTATAGAGAGTAATTAATTCAACTCTTCTACTAAAGCAGCTGTAATCGTGATCGTAGTAATGACATTGTATTGAATGAGGGGAAACCAGTATGTGATGTGAGAGGCGTCGCTCGTAGAAAACTGTACACTACCTGCTTAGCACCAAACAGGCTAGCTGATAACATAGTAGAGCATTTAGCAGCTAAGGAACCACGCATCTCTCTCAGGAGTTGGTGGAGACCAAAGCAAGAACAACATTGGACCATCTCTAATTATTTACCTGGTTTTTGTTCATATCACCCAGTAAAGACACCATTCTGTGTCCTAAACTGATGATGAGAGTTCACAAGTTGCAGCATGCTTTAATTACAGTATCTGCATTAGGTCCTAAACTATATTCAAGTTACAGCAGTACCTGTTATTATTGTACTGGGGATTTATTTTTGGCTGGTCTTGCCTGCCAGTTTTCATTTCAGCATTGCACCATGTTTCTTGCAAACATGTAGAGCAACTTCCTCTCCCTGAAAAGGAATGCAGAATATGACTGAACTAATTCCTAAATGTTCCACAAGCTACAGATGAAGACTTTGTACTGGGCCCTGCAGTGTTTGTCAAGCTGCCCACCTCCACCTGATGTAGTATAGTTGAGCAGCAACCAGGGATTCATCTTTTTCACTTTGAGCTGGTAAACATCTTCTCAAACAGTCCACTGCTTTTACTCTCACATCAGCTCTGTGTTATAAACAGAGGGATTAGAAACACGCACACACGCCAGACTGTTGACACAGGTACTGTTTTTATTTGGAACTCCATATTGACCTCTAGTAATGCAGAAAGCATCAGAAACATACAAACACACATCACAGTTACATCAATATTTCAGAAAGTTCAGATTTGTAATGTAAAATACCCACTACTCAGAATCTAAAAGGATTATTTTAGATGTGTTTTCATTCAGAGGATTACATGCACCACCGATCTGCGTCTGATTGAACCACAAAACTGAAACCGCAAAAAAGCACGAGTCTTGCAATGTTCTCCAACCACAACTTTGAGCTTACTACAGAATGTGTCTTTTTTACTAAGAGAGAAGATCACAAGATTGACATGACAAACATTTTCATCAAATCTGTGACGCTGTAAAAAGGGCCAACAGCCGCAATAAGAGACTACACTGGAACTCTCAACTTCCTCTTTTGGACTTTCCTTGCATAATATAGGTTCCAGTAGGAGGGTTCAAACACAGAGAAACACTGTTTTACCAAACATGACCAATATGGTTTTCAGTCACAAGTTGTGGAAACATATGACCGAAACGCTGGTATGTGAAAGAGATAGGTCACATTATAGGAAGGCTTGAGCTCTTGTTTTAGAATCACATCCTCCCACACAACCGACATTGTGTTCACTTATAGTGAATTGAGCGCATGTGACTGCTGTCAAAACAGAATAATTGCAGATTCTTTATTGTGGCAGTGGTGAAATGTTATTACACTGCATGAACACACAGGAAGAAAGACATTTACTTTCATATTGAAGTTGGTCTCTCCTCAAACCAAGTGTTAAAATAGTTTATGGTTTCCAGGTACTGTTTCACTTTAAGCACTGGACATTAAAACAAGGTAGAACAAGCTAATAATTTGTTACATTAAACAGTATTAACTTTATTATTATAAAATATGTCTATTTAAAATGCTACAATATGAAATAATTTAACCTCAGAAGAGGTATTATGGTGGCCATTTTTTCAGCTAGCCTCCAGTAGCTGATGGAAGAGATGCATCCAATAACAGCAAATAAAAAACATACTTATTGTACCATGTATTTGGTGCCAACATTTAGCCTTGGCGTAAAGTTTAAAGGACAATCAGGTCACTTTAAATTCTTCTCTGTCATTAGTCCTAATGCAGGGAGCACAGTGCAGGACAGTGTGGTGCCTGTTCACTGCTTTCACCTGATTAGAAAGTGAAATGGCTTTTTATAATCCAGATTTGGGCAGCAGTTGCATTTTGTGCCTCATATTTGCTGCTTTCTGATATCTGAGCTTTTGGCCAGCCAGTGACCATTTTCTGCAATTATTGCAATCAGCTGAACGATTTGGAAAGTAAAAAATCAAAGGTCTTATTTTTGGAGATTTTGACTCTGGATTTCTCACGTCTCCTCTTACAACATTTTTTCCTCTTACCCTGCCAGTCTCCCTTTCATTTTTAGTCTCTTACTCTTTTCCCTTCCTCTGATGATCCCAGCAGTAACTGATAAATTACTAATCCCTCTTCTGCAGAAGTTTCCGAGGGAATCTTAATGACAAAGCTTGAATTACTGGAATGGTGCAATAGGTATTATGCTGCATTATCCAGCTAATGTGGCATTTATCTATAATTGAAACAGAAAACGTTACATAATGTGCCAGCATGATGTCCAAACTGTGGCAGCTTCATGTGGCAGCTTGAAGGACTATTTGAGTGGATGTTTCTGTGTCGTAACCTAAATTGCGTTTACTACACAACTAATCATTTTGAAAAAACCTGCTGTTGTGTCTCTCTTTTAATAACACAAAATTTAATACAATAGACAGAACATATGGAAAAGTAGATGAACTAAAGCACTTTGAGGAAGTTGATGTTAAATAATGACAATGTAATGTCATAAAAAGGTTCCTGATATTTGCATGTTACCACGCCTTTCGGTACAATGAAGATAATCATGTGCCCTTTTTTTGTTGAAGTCACCCAGTTGTGACACTCTTCTTTGTCCAGCTCCTAAATTCATGGTGAGACACAATTTACCAGCATGTTTTAATTGCAATACCTGCAGTATGTCCTAAACAATGTTCAAGATACTGCAGTACCTGTTGTTATGGTACTGAGGATTTATTTTTTTGGTATTGCAGCATGTTTCTTGCCAACATGACAAAGAACTTCCTGTAAAGGAATGCAGAATGTGACTGAACTAATTCTGAAATGTTTCACAAGCTACAGATGAAGACTTTGTACTGGGCCCTGGAGTGTTTGTCAAGCTGCCCACCTCCACCTTATGTAGTATAGTTTAGCAGCAAGGGATTCATCTTTTTCACATACAGTTTGCAGACATCTTGTCAAACAGTCCACTGTTTTACTCTCAAATGTGTCTGTGTTACTATTTTTCCTAGTACTAGGTATTGAGCTCAGTTTCCTGCAGCTTCACCACTCTTTTCACCACTGTTCTGCAGTGGTATGTCCCGTGAACTCTGCTGCAGCACACCACAAGATAGATGCTGCTTGAGTATGAAACACTCTAAAGCCATTATCCTCCACAGGCATCAGCTCATAATAAAAACACTTAATCCCTCCTGCAAGTTCCCTCTGGGACATGACTGCATCCTGCCCCACTTTTTTCCTTACTGTTCGACTCGCTCCATCTTTCTGGCTGCTATTATGTTCTCATGTGGTTAGGGGAACGAGCGCAAACACTCTCAATCATCTGACTCCATTCTCACCTCTCTTCATCGCCTCTGTCTCCATCAGGGTGATCAATGCGGGGAAGAGCATGCTGAACGAGGACCAGGCCTCTTGTGAGAAGTTGTTCGTGAAGAAGCCGAGCGGCAAACACCGCAATTCTACTCTGCAGGAGGACAACGGGGTGAGCGAAGGGCAAACGCCCGAACATCAGAACAGGAGTCAGAGAAAGAGGGATGAAATCTCGAAGGTCAAAGGCTGGCAGCTCCAATAAACAATTAGTGGAAGGTGTCTGAGGTGGAATTCTTGTTACGTAGCTTAAAACACAATATAGAGCATTGAAATTATAATCGCATCTGCATGAATTGCAGTCATCCGATACCCAATAGTGTTGTCTTTGTATCCTATTTGGTATTGATGCACCTTGGTACTTGTAATCCTCCACCAGTACTTGTGGGACTTCTAATGTTTCATTATGTGTACTATCATTCAAGTGTATCCGATATATCCCTCACTGGTCCTCATCATTACAAAGCAAGTCCTGGGGCGCCTGGATAGCTCACCTGGTGGCACTGGCGCCCCATGTACTAAAGGCTGAGTCCTTGCTGCAGCGGCCATAGGTTCGACTCTGACAGGGCCACAGTTTGCTGCGTGTCATCCTCTCTTCCTCTACCCCGTTTCCTGTCACTCTTCAGCTGTCACTACCGTTATCAGTCTCACAACTTTACTATTTTAGTTCACGCTCACAGCTCTCAGTATATTTTTGGCAGCAGCTGTTTCCAGTAACCCGCTGTACACTACCTGTCCAGCACCAACAGACCGACACAGTTAGCGGCTTGTTGCTGTATTTAACAGCTAAAGGGCCAGATATTTTAATCAGTGGTTGGTTGAGACCAAAAACAGAGTGAATAATCGACTTTCATTCATCAGGTGGCCACAAACATGACTCCAAATGAATGCTACTGTTACTTCCTATCTGCAGGCAGTGTAAATAGGCCTCTGATTTCTTATAGAGAAGGTGACGATCACACTAAATTTCTAGATCTGACTGAGCATTGAGGTGTTTTTTTTCACTCTCAACAATCAAGATTGTGCAGTAATAAAAAATGCACACACACACACACACACACACACACACACACACACACACTACAGGTTTGCCCTGTTGAACTGGTATTTCATAAGAACTGTGCCTGGGTCCATAGAGCGCCGGCCAAAGACTCTCAGTGATTGTATTCCTGTAATCTCTCCAAACACATTTACTCTTCTTGTCAATTTATCTTTTTTAGACCTGCTACGTCTGCACACACGCACACGCACACATGCTCGTCCTCCATGTGGTCTAAATGAATTACATCATCCCTTGTTGCACCCCTCCCCCACTTGAGTCTAGCATCACAGAGCCTGTTCGTCTGTTAGTTAGTCAGTCGGGCCAACTCTGCTTGTAAACATGCCGACAAACACAAAGGTGGCAACGCCTTTCCATCACATCATTACATCATGGTAGATCAGCGACAGCTTTTGGATGAGGAGATTTTTCCTTGCGTAGATCCTTTTAGGCAGATTTTAATACATTTAATAATTTAATATTCAGTTTATGTTTAATGTTTTGGGGGGTTTTTTTGCACTCTACTGTTCTGTATTGTTTTAGGCTCGAACTATTCCATATAAATCATGATAGATAAAGCTCACAAAAAGATTTTCATCTCTTGCCAACTTTCCCATAATATTATAATCTAGATTTACTGCAACTGTGGTTCAGTGAGACCTGAAATGGAAGAAACATATTGCTGAGCATTACAAATGTCACCAGCTGCAGTCCCAGAGCCTGTAAACCCTCACAAATCTGTGCCTTCTGCTCAGAGTTGTAATCTCGGGAGATTTTTAAACCATAGGAATTATTACTTTTCTATTATTTTATTATATTACTACTAATTTAATATTTATTTTATAAATTTGTATGTGCATATAATTTTTTTTAGGATGGCACAGGAATCCCTCTTCACTTTTGGGGCGTGTTTGATGGACATGCAGGTTCTGGAGCCGCCATCATGGCCTCCAAGCTTCTTCACCGCCTCATCAGAGACCGTTTGGGAGAAATCTGTCACCTGCTGGAGAATCCCAACAATGTTCCTCCCATCTGCCTGGCAAAGAACGGCAGCCCGTACCAGGCGGAGACGAAGAAGGGAGCAGCACAGGAACCAGAAGACCCAGATGCTGTCACCGACTCCTCAGTACGCTTTCACATGGAGAAGGTTGTGAGCTTGGAGAGCCTGGTGATGGGAGTCATAGAGACCGCCTTCTCACAGATGGTGAGCAGATGATAACTAACAGTCTGTGTGAGAAAACAAAAGAACGGTGCTTTGTATATTTCAAGCTGCCCTAGGCATTATTGCACATTTGTATCTTCAAACGGCAACAAACACAACAATTCTTATTTTCAGATGGTTATACAATATTATATTACATTTCTGCCAGTAGATCACCCGAAATGTTACACATTGGACCTTTAAGAGTTTAATTTAAATTCCCAGAAAACACTGCCAAAGGGAGAAAGTAGTAGAAAAATACCTAACTTTGTCTTTCAGAACAGAACCTAACTTTCTCTTTCAGCTGTCTTTAGCTCAAGGGATGGTAATGTTGGTCCATCACTTTGGTCTAGATTAAAATATCTCAACAATTATGAAATGGTTTGCCATGGAATTAGATACAGACCTTCATGGTGCCCAGTGGATGAATCCTAATAACTTTGGTGATCCCCTGAATTTGCCTCTAGTGTCTCATGACTAAATTCCTACAAAACTAATGAGATTCCCATCAGCCTCAGCTGTACTTTATGTTCACTGCTACTAATTAGAAGATGATTGCATGCCAACATGCTTAACTAAGATGGTGAACATGGTAAACTTTTATAAACTATACTTGCTACACATTAGCATGGTTACATTATCATTGTGAGCATGTTAGATATTTTTAGCTTATTGCTCAAAGCACTGCTGAAGTGTAGAAGCCTTGCAAAGAAACTGTGGACTTTTATTTATCAAATTTGGATCTCTTCCTGTTTGTGGAAGATTACGACTGTTCGGCCTCATGCAGTCACTAAGCTCAAAGTGATTCTCTTCCTTCATGTAACCACTGTCTGGTTTAGATGATGCTGATAATAACCTGCAGGCCTGGTAATGTATTCTTCAAAGACTCCTTGTTTTTCTCCATTAGTGCTACTGTTTTGTTTTGTGTATGAATATTTATGAAGTTCAATGAGCTATTCTGGGTGATGAGAGGCAAAGTGCATCCTTAAACCACGGAGGTTTTGTGGCCTTTTTGTTCTTACTTTGATTTTGCTCAATTTATTTCAGGATGACCTAATTGAAAAGGAAAAAACATCATATGCCATCTCCGGTGGGTGTTGTGCCTTAGCTGCCATTCATTTGATGGGGAAACTCTACGTAGCCAATGCTGGAGATAGCAGGTGAGAGAACTGGAAAAACTGTCTACTGCAAACCACAGGATGAATGAAATGTGTGTAATTCACTCTATCTCTCTAATGTATGGTGCATGCACCTTTCCTCTGCTGTGCACCTTTATACTCAAGGGAATCTAGTCAGACATAGTAGCTTCTTGTGCCCCCTGTGGTTCACTTTGCGTACTGTAGCATCATGCAGCTACTGGCTCATATGAGCAGTTGAGTAAGAAATACATGTGTTTCTGTGTGTGTGAACCTTCTTCCTCCTGTCTCCCCAGGGCCATAATCATACGAAATAATGAAGTGATTCCCATGACAAATGAATTCACACCTGAGTCTGAGAGACAGCGGCTACAGTATCTGGTATTCTTCTATTTTCTATGTGACACATGGCAAATACAACTCTTTTACCAATTAACCACATGTTCAAGATGATTTTATAATCTTGTAAGTACATAGCAAGCAGCAAGGACCTTTGATGAAGTTTTACTAACAGTAAACTTGAGTTGAGCTCGATAAGGTAACTTTAAGAAGAGGAAAGACGTCCTCTATCACACTGTAATAAACTGACGTTCATTGGTTGCCTGTTTTAGTAGCAGGTTGTAGTTCTGAGTCACAGAGTGGGTGGATGATGCTGGCTGCTAAAACAGGGAGCTGTTTTGTGCCTTCAGTATATAGCATCATGCACTGTAGGCTTTCTGTTACACAATCAGTCTTTTAGCTTTTCTTGTTTTTAGAAAAACTTCTGAGTCCTGACAAAGTTTAGGCTTAAGTAAAGCTTTTTATTCGGTACTTTGATGTGACCTGCTCCATTTTATGTGTCACTCCAGGGCTTCCTGAGGCCAGAGCTCCTGGGTAACGAGTTCACTCACATTGAGTTCCCGCGTAGGATCCAGCACAGTGAGCTGGGCAAAAAGATGCTCTACAGAGACCACAGCATGACCGGCTGGTAAACCTGGAGATCCTTTTTAATCACATTTCTGACAGTTAATCACTTTTCATGAACACTGTATTTGTCAAGAACAGTTAGTAAATAAATTAGTAAGGATTTCAAGGACAACATCTAACTATGATTTTAATCATCGATTAATCTGCTGATTATTTTCTTGAATTTATTAATTTAGTCTATGAAATATCCAAAAAATAGTAAAATGTTTCATTGCTGCTTCATTGCATAGTTGCTAGTACTTGTTCAATTGTGGTATTTCTGCTTTAAAAATAGATAAACAATTAATTAGCTCTGAAAATTGTTGCTGAATAATTTATCAAACAGTTGTGTTTCAGTATCTTACTCTGAGATCTGTTGGTTGTTTTGTTGTAGGGCTTATAAGACAATCGTTGAAGACGATTTGAAATTCCCCTTGATATATGGAGAGGGCAAGAAGGTAAGAAACTGGGAAAAAAGAATAATGTATTGCACTCGATTCACAGCCTTTTGTAGAGATTTCTTTCTCTTACGGTTATAACAGTTTCTACTTAGTGATAATACAATTGTAATATGTGCATAAAATAATCCTCTTGCACACAGATCCACTGGTCATTCTATCTTCATGCAGATTGATATAAATATGAAGCATTCTTACATCTACAAGTTGTTTGTTAAATTCTGAAGCGTCTGCCTGGGTACAAATGAGACCTGCTTAACATTTTTATGATTGTGTGAGAGAACATGGTCTTCACATAATAATCCCTCATAAGTGGATTTTCCTAGAACTGAATCACATCCTGTAACAATAACCTACATTATTGTGCGTGTGTGCGTCTGTGTGAATATGTCTTGAAACACAGGCACGTGTCATGGCGACAATCGGAGTGACCCGTGGGCTGGGAGATCATGACCTGAAGGTGTACAACTCCAACATTTACATCAAGCCCTTCCTCTCATGCGTCCCTGAGGTGAGTGTGAGGAGTGTGAGGCAGCTCTGGTTGCTTCCGCTACTTTGGAGCCTTTAGGATACATTTGAACAGCTTTTGGGCCCTAGGCTTCACTTTGTTGGCTGTTGCTGGAAGCGAGACACTTTTGCATTGCTCAGAGCTGTGTCTCATAATATTCCTCTGTGCCGGGTCAGATATGGTGCAAAGAAACAGATTAATTCACTCCGACATTCCTTTTTTCACCTTTTATTTAAAGATATTTTACATAAAGCAGCTAAAATTTACATTGAAAAGAGAAAACAAGCATCAATAAAGCATTGGAACTGAGTGGGGTAACTGTACAGTCTTTATGTCAACATTGCGACGTATAGACAGGTGATCAGTTTCTCTAATTTTTTGGGAAAGGTCTGCTGCCTTTTCCTCAGAGAAACCGTACATTTTCTGTGTCTGTCCATTGTTTGCTTTTTCCAGGCATCCAGTGAAATTTTAGAGATATTCTTAATATGACTTCTTCTGTTGTCAGGCCAAGTTTACAAAAATAATTTGGCGCATACTGAGAGGCAATGGTGCGAACAACGCTTTTCTCCACAGGCTTCATCAGACTGGCTCATACACACTTGTGAATAAATTAATTTATGAAGAAGACAGAAAACTTATTTTTGTTTTTTTGAGTTCTGCTATTGAGAAGGCACTTTTCACTTTTGTGAGTACAATATCTTGTCTTCAGAGACCACATAGTCTAAATTGACTCTTAAGGTTTATTCACTGTAATAATAAATTCTTTTTTTTACTTCCTTCACATTATAATCCCTACATTTATTTATAGTTAATATAGTTTATCACAAAGGTTCAAAGTGAACACAGCAACAGCCTTTTTTCAGTATTCTCATGCAGCACTTCATATTTTTGTTTCATGCAGTTAAAAATACCCACTGCCGCTCTTGTTAGATTTTATTTCTCAGTTCCTGTTCAAGCACTTCTCAGCTCGGCATTATAGGAATGTTATCACATCTCTACTTCTTGAACTCAGCCCTTGAACATATCACGCTTGTTGTAAATCACTCTAAATAAGTTCAAAAAAAGGTGAATGAACATGAGCAGCTTTACTGCTGTAAATGGAGGTGATGCCCCTTGCATGCCAGCATACATCTGCTAATCTTCCAGCACTAAACACACAAGCACAAAATGTTTAATGTCTTCTTTCTGCAAAAATTTTATGTAAAAAAAAGTATATTTCTCTGTGCCACAGGTGAAGGTTTATAACGTGGATGAAAACAAACACGGCCCAGACGACGTCTTGGTCATGGGCACAGATGGATTGTGGGACGTGACGACGGACAGGGAAGTGGCAGATGCTGTGTCAGCCTACTTATCCTGCTGTGACCCCTCTGATCCCATGAGGTATGCAGTCTGCCAAATAATCCTTTACATTAGGATTTTGTTCTCGCTACGCGTTCTGTCATGTAAACATGTTCAGGAAAACTACACGAACACTGCAGCTTCATTAACCCTCTGAAATCTAACATTGGTTCTGTTGTACTCAGTATGTCCACTAGGGAGTGACAAATACTTAGGTCTGCAAAATTCTGCTTACAGATGAGTGACAAATTAAAGGAAAAACCTCAATAAATGAGTGGAGAAACAATAAATGCTTCCACACAGCTCCACTGCATAATACAATTGAGCAATTAACATCTAATCATGCTCTGTGGCATGTATGAAAATGCTGAGCAGGCACAGTTGAGTCTGATTTCGTCAGAGGGATATTATAGTAGGGTTGCAGTGCAGAAACCCCTCATTACAAAGATGAATGCACATTTTAGAGTTCAGTTGTACTGGTCTACAGAGATGTGGAAAAAGTGAAATGGGGCTCTTTTATGCTGGTGGGGGGCATTTTGCTGCTATGGTATGGGTCCACTTAAAAGGGAAGCGTTACTGCAAATCAATACAAAGTTGTTCTGAGTGATCACCTTCATCCTGTGATAAAACATTTCTCTGTCGATGGGAGTGGTCTCTCTCTTCCAGGATGACAATGCCCCAATCGATAGGGCACAAATCACTGAATGGTTCCTTGAGTATGAAAACCAGACCTCAACCCAATTGAGATTTTGGACCAACATGTTTAGACAGCCACCACCATCATCAAAACACAAAATGAGGGAATATCTTATGTGTTCATCCCACAGGTAGAGTTCCAGAGACCAGAGACTTGTTACATCAATGCCATGGTGCATTGAAGCTGTTCTGGCGGGAACATGGTGGCACACATTACTTTACTAAGACATTTTATGCTGCTTGTTTCATTTCATTTGCCACCTGTCTGTACATACAAGGCTTTTGGATGTACAGACCCCCCCCATTTTCTCATCTAGAACACATTATAATGTAGGTATAAGCAATTATAAGGACATGTTTAAGTGTGGGTTGATGTACAATACTTTCAACAATTATAACTTCTCCTATAAAGACACATTTTGTATGATCACAACAGTTTATTACATGTTCATATACTGTTTGTAAATGGTAACGCAATGGTTTTGAAGATGCAGTACTGTTGAAACATTGGTCTGTTTGCCCTACTAAAGGCTGCACATTAATCAGTGAGTGCTGAAATAAGTACATATTTTGTATGTGTGCTTGTCTCAAATGACGTCACTGTTGTAATCACTGCCCTCTGTGTGTTACACAGGTATACACTGGCAGCCCAGGACCTGCTGATGAGATCACGAGGGGTGCTTAAAGAGCGCGGATGGCGGCTACCCAATGATAAACTGGGATCAGGCGATGACATCACTGTCTTTGTCATCCCACTGGCGGAGCACGAGTCAGAGACATGACGGGGTGCTGCCGCGACCGCTATGACTTTAGGGTCCTTCCAAGCTCCCTAAACCCTGGACTGACGGAGGGAGGGGGGAAAAGAAAACACCTTTGTCATAGAGGAGACTCGGGTCTAAGCAGCACCTTCATCAACCCACCAGACTGGACCCAGTCCCAGCCGCTTCACTTCAACCCAGTCCTGTAACAAAATATTTTCAGTGACAGTATAAGAGAAGTCACACTCTTTCTCCCTGCTGTTTGTGACGGTTGCCAGTGAGAATTAAAACCTGTGTAGTATTTTTCTTTCCTCTTTTACGTTCAAGGCTGAACCGCTACTCAAATCATTTGAATGGATTGTTCATTTTCATGTCATAAACTAAATGTGACTCTGTTTTGTAAAAAAAAAAAAAAAACACAAAACAAAACAAGATGACAGTCATACATTGTAAAGGGATTTGCAGAAAAGAATGTGAGGAAACCAAAGAGATGGCATAAGAATGGAAATATGGAAATCTGTAAAAACTGAACACATAAAATGCAAAACAAAACAAAAAAAATCATTAGATTCATGTCTGTACATTAAAGAAGCATGTAGGAAGTCAAAAACAGAGGAATGGACCTTTTTTCAGCACTGGACCTAAACAGAATCAGTTGAGTCTTTGTTGCTGTACTTCCTTTCTTAACGATGAATGAATGACGACACCTTAGGCACTGTTGCACATGTTCTGTGGTAGCCTGTTGATTTGTGATATGTTTTTATTGAATGTGCTCATAGAGGGCTTGTTTTATTCTCATTTACTCTCATTACAATAAAGGGGACAGAGAATTATCCCTGTGTTTAGTACAAAAAAAAATAATAATAATAATTATAATGAAGGAAGAGGATCATTTGTTTAATTTAACAACATGTTTTCATTATTTAACCCTCGGAGGAGAAAGTCATCCGTTCTCAGTAAATGTCTCGGTATAGTAAGATGTGATAAGCTTCACACATATGCCTTATTAAGAGATGAAAGGGACTTTTCAAGAGTTTTTTTTCTTCAGATGCACTAAATTTGAACCTTGTAGAAGTGGCAAAGAACATTGTATGCCCTTAAATGTACCATATACCTCTTTTGTACCATTTTTGTTATGTCATGTTGTTATTTAGATTATCCATATATTTTTAAAGCTGTTTCAGAAGTTTTATTTTTATGTTTCTATCCATTACGGTTTGTTTAGAGGGATGGTGTGAGCTACCAAAATGTGAGGTAGAGGGATAACGTGTACCAGTTTAGAAATAAATCAGATTTTTCCCATTCAAGCTTTGAACTTGTTTATTTACACTCAGTCTCTTGTATTTCTCAAAAGCAAATGGGCCTTTGGTGTGGCCGACTAATGGTGATTACACGGTTGAACTAAGAGGGAAGCTCAGTTTCTAAATATCCACTTTCCCTTATTCTGACTCCATTAACATCATGAGCATTCATTGTATGAGCATTGAAGTACGCAGTTATCCAAAGGCAAAAATCATTTCTATGTATGTTTATACAGAATTTCAGGAGGCAACAAATTTCCAAAATATAGATTAATATTTGAATAATCGAGAAGTAATCTTCTTTATGTAGGCTAAACATGAGCACAAAGCTCTAATATTAATTATTTAAAGATTTTGTTGTCATTGGTTTTACTTATCCATTGTTTTACCCAAACCTTACTTACTTTACAACTATAACTGTATACATATGTGTGTGTGTGTGTGTGTGTGTGTGTGTGTGTATCATTTATGACCTTGTTAAAACCTAATATGTAGATTTGTAGTCTATTTTTATTGTTTATTTGTATAGGGAAAAGTATGTAGCATAAACAAATGACACTTATAGCTTAATCTATTTACAATGCATGTCCCTACATGGGCCAATCAAATACATACAACTCAACAAATAAACAAGAGACAGTACAAAACACAAACTCAACAATTACAATGTATATTAAAAACACAAAACTAAGCAAGAAAACAGGATACAAACTAATACATTGAAATACAATAATAATTCAAGACTACATGACTGATTCCCTCTCCAAAACCAGTTTGAGATTAAAATGATCCCAGGTCAGGATCCAGTTTGAGTTCTGTGAGGAATTCCACATTTTCATCTCCTGAACAGAAAAGGCAGTTTGTCCAAATGAGGATTTATGTAAGGGTACTTTACAATTCATATTGTTTTATAGTAGTTGTATGTCATTCTCAGGTCATTAAATATATAGTAGCCTATGTTATTGTACATAGTAGGACCCCATAGTAATAAACTGTTATGAAACTCAAATAAGGCTATAATATTTCCCTCTCAAAGGTTGTGGAGTAGAAGCATAAAAGTAAAGTAAGTAAAATACTTTAGAACTGTCCTCGAGTACAGGACTTGAGTAGATACATATTAAGCTAGGTAACTTTTCACCAATCTAATTATCTTTACCATAATATTAATATTTGTTTCATGTCTCATGTTCTAAAATGAATAGTTTCTTTTGACTTCGCTTGTCAGATAAGACAGACCATATTATTTGATCATTCAGAGACAAATTAGTGCCGAATGTGCAGGTTATGATCCAAATCACACAGGTCTACAACACACCTGGCACACAACCCATTCACTTCATATCTGAGCTGGGTGACTGGCTGCTCAGATATGAAGTGAATGGGGTGGTGGTGGTGTGGGGGGGTTGTTTGTTTGAGGGCAACACTGGTGAGATCCACACCCATCCCTCCTGTTGCACGAGTCTTCTTGTACTACGGATGATGTCATCTTTGACCGGGAAGGGGAGGAGGGACCTGGGTGACTCCAGCGGCTGCAGCAGCTCCGTCAAGTTAGTGAGGAGTAACCATGACAACACCGGAAATACAAACATTAGCCTTCAAAATCACAGTGTAAACTGTAACGTGACTTTATAGAGGGGGAGAAATTATATCAGTGCACAAAGCAAAGTAATACATATTAATCATTTAATATAAATATTGGCTGTGTGAGTTATTTTTTATTTAAATGTTTATTTTTATATTGATGGGCTGCAGAACAGGATGGCAGAGTGCATGTACGTTTTCTCTTTATTTCAGATTTTTACTACAAAACAATCACAATATTTTAAACAAGAGGAGATTTATGTTCCCTCATAAAATACTGACTTTTACCATAATAATTGTTCATATTTGTTATTGTACATTTCTGTCATCATTGTCTTTTACAGTAGCAAGTTGCTTTTTACTTTCTTATTTTCTCTATGTTTATTGTTATTGCACCATAATACCAAGGTAAATACCTGGTATGCAGGGGTGTTTCAATATGAGGAGCCTGAGGTCGCACGGGTCTCATCCCAAGTGACACCCCATTATCCTTACCTCTTCCACTCCAGAGTTTTTCCAGAGGTTGTAATGGGCTATGTTTTAAAGCTAGAGTAAAGATACTGGTATATGAAAGTAGAAGACCATTGGTACAAAACAATGTCATGCTAGCATGTTGGGAAGAGGGCTAAATAACGCTCCAAAGTGAGGCTAAATCTTAGCAATAGAAAAACTGGCATGGCCATTTTCAAAGAGATTCCTTGCCCTCTGACCTCAGGATATCTGAATGAAAATGGGTTCTATGGATACCGACGAATCCCCCCTTTGTAGACATGCCCACTTTATGCTAATCCCATGTATTTTTTGGGGTAAAAACATTCAGTTTTTTACATGTTGTATACATGTGTTATTTAATATTTATTTTTGGGGGTCTTTTTCCCTTTATTAGATAGGACAGCTGAAGACAGACAAGAAATAGGGTAGAGAGAGGTGAGGATAACATGCAGCAAAGGGCCACAGGTCAGATTTTAACCAATGGCCCAGCAGCCATTGCACATGGGGCGCCATCTCTACCAGGTAAGCCATCTGGGTGCCTCATACTTGAATATTTCTACAGATTGGGGTCCATAAACTGTATTGGAATTGCATAAATTGGGGAATAACTGGAAAAGTAAGACACACACTTTCTACATAAGTCAGTGCTCCTCACCACCAAAAAGTCTTGGAAATAAATCTGATCATTTTTGATTTTCTCTCAAGTTTTTATCTTTGTTATTAACTTCAGAAGAATCCGATATCATGTGTGTCTACATAAAGTCTGCAGCTCCTGAATGTTGCACTATTTTCCTCCCAAAGCCCAAACATAGGATCTGAACTACAGTGCTGGATTTTAATTCTACCGACCTGCCTCTTTTATTTTGAAAGCCCTCAGCGGAACTACCTGTCTGTCTGCCCTGGCCTGGCTTGTCGCTGGTGTGTTGGTGGGAGGATCTTGCTCGCCTGCCCCGTTTCTCAGCACCCTCTCTGTAAAATTAGCGAATACTGCAGCAAGAAGTGAGTGTGTATATGTGTGTGTGTGTGTGTGTCACGATCAAGAGGAAAGAGCAAACGGGGATTAATATTTATTAAAACCTCTCATCCGACTGCTGGCAGGTAATTATGAACCGGAGGCTGTAGTTTGACTAAATATTCTTATTTGACACAAGTCGGCAGTCTAATTATAGCTCACTTACTTGGGTGAGAGAACAAGGTGGTGGCTTGTCCTCATACTAACATTCGCCTTTTTTTTCCTCTTAGGTAGTTTATTCCCCCAGGGGTTATTATAATGAAGTATACCCGGTGTTGGTGTCACTTGGCAGGGCGTGTTTCTGTACAACTGTTGATTGCTTCGTTTGTTGGTAGTTTCAAAGTCAAAGCAGCGGATCAGATCCTGTTGGTATGTACAGTCTGTCCAAGTGCTGCGACCTCAATAAGCAACTCCGCATTGCAAAAAATCTCCTAATGAGCCATTTTCTATTCCTGGGAACACTTTAATTTCCTCATTATTAAAGAGTCCCATTTGTTAGAGGGCGTTGTTTGAACTGCCAACAATGATTTTCAAACGCAACAAAACATGTGGAAGAGAGAGAGAGAGAGAGGGGGAGAGAGAGAGAGGGGAGGGGGGTGAAATTGGAGAACACGGGTGAGTTATTTAGGCTGAAGTTGGATTAATTGTGTTAAAGTGGGAGCTTTCTTACCACGTTAAATTGTGATAATGTAGTGTGATCATCCTGCTGAATGTACAATCTGTTGGAAAAACAACATTCATTGCATTCATGCAAATATATTCTTGAGACACTTGCAGGTGGATAACAGCAAAACTAAAAACAGTTTAACAGTCAATTAATTGATAAGTTGATTAACATTTTTCAGCCGTTTTGATAATAGAGTAATTGTTTATTGAGGAAAAAATGCCAAATATTCTCCAGCTTTTTCTTCTTTCTCTGTTTTATATCATAATAAATTGAATATAAATTTGATGTATTTTTTAGTCTAAAGGGATCGATAATGAATTGCAGCCCTGAAAACTGGAAAAAAAATTATTTTTTGACCAGTGAATTAATAGTTTGAACTATAATTTGTTGTCAACAAATTGTTGTCTAAAAAAAAATCAGTGAATCTACTAACCACCAGTTTAGAGGTCAATCAGTCTGTCAGCAGAAAATCTACATAATTGATAAATAGTTTAGGTAATTTTTGGGGGCAAAAGTCTACAAGTTCCAGCTTCTGAAATGTAAAAACTTTCTGTCTTGAGTATCTTTTGGATGGACGGCCGGACAAAACAAGCTGTTTTAACTTATAAAGCGATGGTAATCTCAAACTATTTTCTGACACTACAGACCAAATAATTAATAGATTAATACAGAAAATAATCTGCAGATTAATCAGTCATAACAACAATCATAAGTTGCAGCCCTAGAGTAGATGGATAGATTTGTCCCTGGAGGAACAGAAGTGTCCACACTCTCTGGTGGATTCCTCTCTCTCAGCCACCCAGTCAGCCCCGTTTGTTTGCTTGTGACCTGAGTTATTGAACAGAAGTGAGTCACGAGGTGTCGGTTCCCTCGAAGCCATGTGTAGGTGTATCCTCTGCCTGTATCTCTGAGTTTGCTCATCCCACTCCAGCTACCACCAGCTGACTCAACTCTTGTCCTACTTCCTCTCAGTAGGCTTGAAGAGCAAGAGTGTCTGTGAGTGTCTTCCTTTGTGTATTTATAAATTAATAGCCGCTTGGCAGAAGCCATGAAGGTGACCAGGCTGCGGGTCATTAATTTGAAATGTGGTCGGACAATATGGTGATTAGACGAGCTTTAGTTTGTGAGGCTCTTCTGATAGACCCAGTCATAGAGTCAATACCATAACCACCTGAATTTAAATTGGTTGACATTTTCAGAAATACGCTTGTTGGTTTTCCTTCAGAGAGGTGAGAAGATTGATACCACTCTCAT